TATTCTCAGTTTTAATTAAATACAAAAGGAATATTATTACAATGCATATATAATCATACACATATATACACAGTGTTGGGTACATTATCTGTAACATATGGACGCGTATTCGAAATTTTACATGTTCCTAATCAACCATTGGTGGACCATTTTGAAAATTATTCCCACACTCATCCATCATTTGTTGTAAATTACTACTTGTACCAGAGAAGTTTGGTCCTAAATATGAGTGACTTGGAAGGTTATTAATGACTATTTTCAATTTTATGGATATTTAGTTTTTTTTTTAAAAGTGAGAATGATTTGTAAATGTAGAGATAAAAAAAAAACTAACAAGAATGAATTTAATTTATAAAATTTTGTCGATTTAAGACATATTTAATGACTTAACTATCATTTTTCAGTATGTGAGAATAAGTTACTAAATGATTTATAATCAGAACCAAAGCGGCATATAAGACACTTTTAAATGGCAAAATAGGGATTGGGAAAAAAAAAAAAAAAAAAGAACTAACAAAGTGCAGTTTTACTCAGTTTTAATTGGCAAAGCTCGCATCAAGTGCCATAACCTTTTTTTTTTTGGTTAAGAAACAATTACAAATTATTGGAGGTACCAAAAAAAAAAAACTAAGTTATTCACTTTTGACACGTGGCAAAAGCATATGCATTGCATTAAGCTAAGATAGATCAGTAGATCCAACGGTTTTTTTTCCCCGATTGGGCTGTTAACGTTTTATTCCATTCTATTTAAATTTTAAACAGCTGTAATTATAGTTCAATCGTAAATGTGTTTTTGATTTTATACAATTTTGTAATCGTTCATTTAAAATTAGGAACCTAATCCATAAGTCCCAAATATAAAAAAATAAATATAAGCAAGTTTACTGAATTTCATTTAAAATTAATAGCTGAATACATGTTTTTAAATTTTAAGCACTTGACCTGAATTGAGATATGGCCTTTCGTGTGCCATATTGAAGAATGAAGGTCATTATGTCATTTTTTTTAAAAAAAAATAAATTTTGTTGTTTCGCAAAAAAGTTAAAAATAAATTGTTGAACTAAGTAATGGCAAAATCACTCAATTTATCGTCACATGCCTTGAACAAATGGTCACCAAATTTCTGTTTTGCCCCCTAAAAACACATCAAAATTTATCAAATAAATCCTAAACTAATTATTGGCTTATTCAACATCTTAAAATATTTTTCAGTAATGTTAATATCCTATTTTTAGTACAATTTTGTCATCAAAGTATTATTCTCAGTAGCAAACACCCTAAATATAGGATACTGAGTACTATTAAAAAAAAACATTCAAGGAGAATGGATACACTAAAAATTAATTACTTTTTTTTGCCAACCTAAAAAGTAATTACTTTAGAATATTAAGTGTAATCAACAAATTTATTAGGATAATATGGACGTCCAAAAAGCTAGTTTAAAATATTAAATTTCACTCCCTCTATTTTTTTTTATAAAAAAGAATTGTGAAGCATGGCATGTTCCTTTTTATGAGAGACATTTGAATTTGGATGTTATCTCAAATTTGCTTGATCAATGATTTTTCATTTTATTTTGTTTAATTACTCATAATACTTATATGATTCTATTTAATTGCCACATATACTCTCTCCACCATATATTATCTTTCTTCCACGTAAATAAGAGTATTTTAAACAAATCAAGTTACACTTGTTTGCATATTTATTATATTCAATTAAATTTAACTAACCTTTTTTTTTTTAAAAAAAAAAAGGATATAACCACGACATGCAAAGCTGGTACGTATAGTGGAGGATTCCTTAAGATACGGTATATGGGCACTGCATATTAAAACCGACGACGGTGGCCGACTTCGCGTGACCACCACCTTGTGCTTGTTGACCATTGAGCGAGAAACTGTTACACCACGCGCTCTTCCTGATCGTGGCCCCCAGGTCAACTTCTGCTTTGATTCATTCAACTTCTTAATTTCTAAATTCTAACTTATAATTATATTTAGTACATAATACCATACTTCTATATATAATATAATATACACAAAATTAAAATAAAACATATATATATAATATTTTTACCAATGAAATAAATGGCTTATATAATCTCCAAGGAGAATTTATAATGTGGTTTTCAATTAACTAATTTTAAAAAATTTACATAACCTATTTTTTTTATAATATATAGATTGAAACAATCTTCAAAAATATTATTTAGTCTTCATTAAAATTTGAAATTATTATTTTAATTTACTTTGTTTTCTCTTAAAATATATTATTTTCATTTTAAAATCTAAAATTATTTGTTTTTATCAATGACTTATTTGTTCAACCTTTTTATGAAATGTAATGAATATTTTATAAGAGCATATTAGCTAAAAAAATATATTATAATAATGTAAATCAAATTAAAGTTGACTGTTTCAAAAAGGGTTTGAGAATACCAACTATGTCATTAATAATTTATAATTAATCTGACTTTATATATATATATATATATGACAACTTATATCAATTTTTTGTGTGATTAGTTTATTTATTTTTTATTATTAATCAATCAGGACTGAACTTATCCAGTACTTCAGTTGGAAGTATACATTTAAGTTGTTGACAAAAAAAGGTATGTATTTAAGTATTTTTTTGGTAAAAGTTCGTATGTAGTTTTGCTGCATGGAAAGTGTACAAGAAAGTTTAGAGACTCAGGAAGAGAAGCGCCCCCTCTAGAAGTAAAAATACTCCTTATAATAAAATTAGATAATTAGTAATGTGTTTATTTTTATAAGTTACTTCTAATATGATTAAATTTTTATTTTTTTTACCTTCGTTTCAATATGTTTAATTGGAACTAAAAAAAAATCTTAAATGTCATTAATTTTAACTTAAAATTTAATGACTTTATAACTTATTCATATTTAATATATATATAATTTCAACAAAATAACAATCTAACATAATAATAAATAAAAAATAAAATAGTATGTTTATGTTAAAAATTCAATAATGTAAGTTATAAATATGACTAAAATATTTTTTTCCTAACTTATAATAATACCAAAGGAGTAATTTATGTGTCCAAAAAGATTACCTAAGTTAGTTTTTTATAATAATTATGTACTCTTTTTGTCCTAAATATAAAATTCACATTGTAATGTAATTTACACTACATAGTGGGTCTTATATTTAGGATCGGAGGAGTTTTATTTTTTTCAAAATACTTCCTTTACTCAATAAAACCCTCTTTAATATATATTGTTATAAAACTACAAGAAATAAAAAGACTAGAGAGTAGAAAGGAAAATAAGAGATAGAGATGGCAATGACTTTTTTCTCATTCACTTTTTTCACAGTACAAATACCTTATTCATAGCTTCTATTTATAGGCCTCCAAGTATTGAAATCCTATACTAGGGTTATAAAGAAATAAAGAATATCAGAATAATATTAACAATGAGAAACTCCTCCTAAATTATTCATTAGGAAGGTTATGCAATTTACAATACTTGAAGGTAAAGAATCCTATGAAAATTCCAAAATATAAGGGTTATAGCCTTATGGGTATTCTCTCATGCAATATTCATAATACATATATATATAATTGATAGAAACGGTTTAAAAAATTATAAATTAATGTGGGAAGAGGAATAGATACGAATACAATCGTATACTTTAAAATCGTCAAAAAGTCTATCCTTTTCATTTTTCCATTGGAATAGGATTTTGTTTTCAATCGCTTGACGTTATTGATAATTCTGGTCATTGCATTAAATGATTGCAACAACTTTATTTGTTTTTCTTTTTCCCATTGTGAGAAGGGGAAGATGATTATACGGAATTCTTGGATTGACCCCATTAAAAGAGTGATATTTTCACCCAGAAAATACTCCGTACTTTGATTATTGCTAATCTCGATTACATATAAATTAAGTTTGCAATAATTAGACACAAATGATACCTTTCTGGGTAGAATCAAGTTAATGTCTTCTTTAAGAAATCATAATTTTCCCTTTTGATATTGAAATCTGATAGGAGAAGGAAAAGAAGGCCAAATTTTTAACTTTTTTTTTTTAAAATGATATTAGTGCCAGGAAACTAATTGATTAATGCTGATTAAACTCGGCTACATAGGAGCATTCATTAAAGCCGAAATAATTAGTCACAACTCACAAGTTAGGAGGCGATACTTTTTTTTTTTTTTTTCAGGAGATAAGTTACTCATCTCGCCCTATAGGTTACTTCCAACATGTTTCACACATATCAAGAAAACCTTAATTTTATTAACTCTCATTTAAAATTCAACTTTTTAACTCTAGCCCTATACATTATACCTGTAAACAAAGTCAATATAATAATAATAAATAGAGGGTAAAATTATATATCCATACAAAAAAATTCTCTTACTCCTCTCCGTTCCTTATTATAAGAGACATTTGATGCTTATGGCATGTTCCTATATATAAGAGACACTTACAAGTTGTCTCTACTTTTTTGTGTTGATTTATTTTACCCATATTTATTATCTCCAACTCACACTCTCTCTCCCTCTCACTTCTCTTTCTTTTAATAATTTAATTGTTCTCTCTCATGCTCTCTCTCCTTATTAATGAGGGCATTTTTGGAAAAAAATTATACTTTTTACACATTAATTGTTCTTAACTAATTTTAACTGTTTTTTTTATCAATGTACTTCGGTTATTTGTCTCTTATAATAAGAAACGGAGGGAGTAGTATCCTATAAATAAAACTAAAAAATATCCTCTTTCTCTATCTTATTACCAGTGGAGTAATTGCATTCACTCCAATAAAAAAAGGAGATAAAAATAATTAAAAATTGTTCATATAACAAATAAAATTTTCAACCAACAAGCATTGGTCCTAGTATATGCAATGAAATTTTAATTTCGTTATAAAATAAAAATCAGTGAAAAGTTTAACGTTTGTATGAATATAAAAAACAATAAAGAGCGAGACGGAATACTTTCGTGTCCTCAAACCCCATAGAAAACCCCAAAACGCTGCTTCTCTTTCTCTTCCATTTTCTCTGAGCTTCTCTGCCACACTGCGTTCTTCAAGTTCCGACTCTGAACTCTTCACCCTCCTCCCTCCTCCTCTTCACTCTGATTATGCAGCCTCGTAGCAGAGAAATGCAAGGAATAAACTCTCTCTTGAACTCTTCTCAGATTCCTCTCTCCGACCTCCACCAGATCCAAAATTCTCAGATGCATCCTCCTCCTCACCTTACTAACCCTTCTTCTTCTTCCTCCTCTCACTTCGACCCCTCTTCTTCCCACGACGATTTTCTCGACCAAATGCTCTCCAACCTTCCATCTTCCTCTTGGCCGGACCTTAACCCCAAGCCCTTCTGGGACGATACGCCTCCGCCGCCCCACGCCGCCGAGAATGTTGCGTTTCAGTATGATGACCAAGCCAGCTTGGCTTCCAAGTTCCGAAACCACCGGATCAGTAGTGATGGTGGTAACCCCTCTACCACGTCGTCGACAGCGGCTCTGATGCTCCAGGCTCAGCAGCAGCTTCTGATGTCCCGAGGTGTCGCCGGAGCCGGAGAATCAGGCCTCCTTCCGATGCCGTTGTCGTTGGGCGGCGGAGACGTTGACCGCTCCAGAAACGACGTCGTGGATGGCTCGTCGTTCAAATCTCCTAATCCGGTTAGACTCGTAATTTGAAACGTCAGTTACATACAAACGAACTAATTAGTTTAAGATAGTGTAGTTTTCACTGAATTTTGTGGAAGTTCTTTTAGGGTGGCGAGAGTTCAGTTCAAGCCCTGTATAACGGCTTCGCCGGTTCTATGCATGGCGGTGGTCAAGTTTCGAATCAGACCCAGCATTTTCCTCATCATCCACAGGTTTTATTATTATGATCGATCTCTTCATTTAAATTAGCCGTGATATCGTATTTTCCGTTTCATCTCGCGGTTAATTTCCTGAATTAATGAGAGCATCGAATCAGGGCCAGAATCTGGGCGCAACGACCCAAGCTCCGGCGAGCAGTACTCCGGCGCAACCAAGGCAGAGAGTTAGGGCAAGGAGAGGTCAAGCGACGGACCCACACAGCATCGCCGAGAGGGTAAACTCTACTGTGTTTCTCTGACTTTGTTGTTCCTTCATGAAAACGTGTTTGGCTGTTGTCCAGAAAAACGGAGCCAATAATTTCAACTGTCATTTTCCGCATCGCACAACTTTACTTTTCTTTACAACGTCCAAGGACGACGATTTTCGTCTCACTTCCAGGGCCAAGAATATTTTTCCTCACAAAGTCTTCTTTCTCGGGGGAGGGGAAAAAAACTAAAACCCTAAGAAAGGGACGGAATCGCTTTGTTTTCTTCAGTTTTCTGGGCAACCAAACAGAAAAAAGAAAAGCATTCAGGATTTCACGCGGTTTCTATAATTCTATTTCGGTTTCTGGCTCACAAAGTCTTGTTTGGGAATAATGTATGTGGCAGTTACGAAGGGAGAGGATCGCAGAGCGAATGAAGGCACTGCAGGAGCTAGTTCCCAATGCCAACAAGGTAATTAGTTAATTATAAATTATAATTAATCACTAATAACTAACTAGTACTATTAATAGTCCCCTGATTTGACTCCCAAATTACACGTCATTTCATAAATTCAAATTTCAAAAGGGAGTAAACATCCAACAGAACCGTGATGAACGGGAAAGGCCGTAATGTAGTAGTGGTGGTCACGTTTAGCCATGGCACACGAAGCCACGTACGTAGGTTGATAGAGATATGTGTGTGTGTGTGTGTGTGTGTGTGTGTTTTGTGAGGGAAAATAAATATTATAATAAATATCATTATTATTATTGGAGAAAAAAAAAAAGATTGGACGTGTGAGAGTGGCTGCAAATTTTCAAATATTCGTTGTGTTTGTGGAATGACAGACAGACAAGGCGTCGATGCTGGATGAGATCATCGATTATGTGAAGTTTCTACAGCTGCAAGTTAAGGTGAAAACTAAATGCTCTCTTTTATGTATAATTCCCATTAATTAATTATATATAATTTATTCAGTGGCCAATTTCTTCATTCTGATGATATATTAGTTAATAGTAGTATTATTGTTTTTTAACTTATCAGGGTGCCATGTGTTTGTTTTTGGTTTGATGGGATTATTATTATTGGATTACAGGTATTGAGTATGAGTAGGTTGGGCGGTGCGGCTGCCGTGGCTCCCCTTGTTGCTGATATGGCTTCTGAGGTACAATATTTCATGAAATCCTCTTTCTTTTGTCTTTTTTTTTCCCTTTTGTTTTACCTAATTAAGTAGAAAGCTGAAGGAAGACTTGTTTTCCACTCAATTATCTGTTTCATCTAAAATTTGAAGCTGGGGTCATCCGTAATAATTTGGTTCTCAACTTTTTAGGGCCTCCGATGTTTTAATATATATTAGGGTCTTAATTGTTGATTTTTTAAAAAAATAAAATGTTGATGGGTAATTTTGAGCTAACCTAAACTCACTTAAATTTTTGTTTATTAATAAAAGGGAAAATTATATTTTTATTACAATAGTTTTGATTTGGTCTCATTTCGATATAGTTCAATTCTTATAATTTAATCATTCAAGATATTAGTTCTTATATTTTTAAAAAATAAATAAAATTATAGGGAGTAAGTTGCAATACAGACATTAAAGTTTGAAGATAGAGTTTCTAGTTTCTACTGAATGATGATGATAGGAAATAAATTATTTTGAGTTACGAATGGGTGAAAATTATGATAGGAGTGAAAGATTAATGTTTTACAAAAAAACACATAGGGATAGAAGGAAAGAGGGAGAAGAGAATGGAGCGTTGAGATTTGGAGGAGAGGTAAAGAGGGAGAATAGAATGGCGATGATGGGGATGAAGAATCAATTTTGTAGGACTGAGTCCTGAGCCTGTTGCAGCACCCACACCCACTCTGACTACTCTATTCCTCAAATTCTCAATCACCCACTAAACGACAATCCCAAAAAGCAGCACGCGTGCCCACTTTCTCAGATTCCTCTCTCTCTCTCTCTCTCTCTCTCTGCGCTCATCACTTTCACGCCCCACGCCCTTTTTCTTCCCCTTTCTTTCTCTCCCTGCTCTGTTTTTGTCTTTTACTTGAGGTCACCATTCTTGTCTCAGCAGGCAGCCAGTGACAGCGGCCAGGCCCCTCCCAACGGCAACCAAACGCCGTCGTCAACCTCCGCCAACGACACCATCACCATGACGGAGCAACAGGTGGCCAAGCTTATGGAGGAAGACATGGGCTCCGCCATGCAGTACCTGCAGGGCAAGGGCCTCTGCCTCATGCCCATCTCCCTCGCCACCGCCATCTCCACCGCCACCTGTCATTCCAGGAGCGCCCTCATCAACCAGAAAGGGCCGTCGTCTCCCAACATGTCGGTCTTGACCGTGCAGTCGGCGACGGCCGGTATTGCCGCCGCGGAGAGCTCCGTCAAAGAGGGGGCCTCCGTTTCGAAGCCGTGATGACGGCGTTAACGGAGTGCTGACTTTGGCCGCGAATAAACAAAGCAGGGTGTAAAATGACAGAGAGAGACAAAAGATAGAAAGAAAATGACGTGGATTTACGTATTATTATTGTTATTAGGAAAAAAAAGGGGCCGTCTAAAGTCTACGAAAATAAAGCGTCAGGAGGGGGAGTTTGACGACGCCGTATTTACGTAGACTTTAGCTGACGCTAACAGTTTGTAATGTACCGAAGAGAAACTCTCCAACCCCTCCCTCCATCTTCTCCTTGCAATCAGGTTTTTTTTTTTTTTTTTTTGGTTTTGTTTTGTTTTACTTTTCACTGTGATGTACTGGCGTTTTATTTAATTATTTTTGGTTTTATGAGGTATTATCATAATAATAATGATAATAATTAACAATAATTGGTGACAGGTGTGGTGATTATAATGGAATCAATAATTAGGACATAATGAGGGAAGGATCTGTTTGGTCTTGAACTTTTGACGGGCAGCATGGAGTGTATGTATGTTTCACGAGTTTAAATAGCAGTATTTTATTTGCTTTTTTCCTTTTTTACTTTTAAAAAAGGAGAAGGTATTGGGATTTAACTTCCAAGTGGGAATCCAAATGCAGGATGGTGAAAAAAAAAAAACACGTGTCAACTGAAAAAGTGTTCATACCTTTTTATAAAGATAAGATATAAAATATTTCTCAGATTTTATTTATAATTTAAAAAAATAATCGGTTTTATTCTATTCGTAAGTTACATTGGTAAATTTTGACATAAATGTGTTATTTTGTCTTTTATTTATATGAATTGTAAATTAATACAAGTCATAAAAGTGTACTTTTTTTAAACAAAATTATAATATATATATATATAGTTGGCGAATATATATGGATAATTTTGAGAAATGAGAATGTATTTCTTTAAATTGATATATTGGATTTTGGTATTTATTTTTTCGAAGGAAAATGCTAAACACAATTAATTGATGGAATGGCTTAATTAATACACACAAATGCATAACAGTGCAAAATTATGCACGCTGGCAATTTTTAAAAAATTTATGCAAAATTATGAAATCATTATCTAATACAACTTATACAGGAAAGCTCAAGTATCTTTTTTCTGGGAGGGAAAAAATCAATGCTAAGAAATATTTGTTAAATTTAAAATTGAAGTGACTAATCATGATGAATGAATATAATAATATAGAAATACAAGAGGGTACATGAATAATGTAAAAGGAAATGAAGTGGGGGCTTTAGGGCTTAAACGTAAAGCTACGTAGATGCCCAAAAAAAGAGCATCGTCGAATAAGGAAATTAAGAAACATAGTGAAATATAGAAACTTCGGTGCATTTAGGAACAAACCTACTCTACTCTACTCTACTCTACTCAGGTTGCGTAAAGGGCCGCTTGTTGGCCAGTCTGCCCTCTGTCTTGCTCTTGTCATAATCCTTTCTTACTTTTTTTTTTTAAAATTATTACTACTACTACTATTATTATTTTAAAATTATTGTGTGATGTTAAATAAGAAATATAATTACCCTGGTAAAAAAAAAAAGAAATATAATTATCAGAAAAATCTCATAACTAACTACTGAAAACCAAATCGGTGGCAGTAGTTTAAGAATTAGCAATTTAAATTGAGATCAACCGAAAACCAGATTGATTATTTAGAATAATATAATTTAATTAAAGCATATAAAAATATTTATATATAATTTAAAAAGAGTCATGTTTAAATAAAAAAAATATATTAAGTCATAAATTAATTTTTGGTCAAAAAAAGTCATAAATTAATAGACTGTTCATATATAAATCACAATTAATCCAATAACAAAATAGAGTTCATAAAACAAAAATACGATGAACTACAAATATTTTTGTTAAGAAAAAAACTTAAATTGATGTTGTTTTGAGCTTCATGATAAAAAAAAACACATATAAAATCCAACATGATCAACCATTTAAAAATTATTAACTAGGCAAGCTAAAAAAACTTCCACTAGTTTAACTCGTCAAACCGGGTCAGATTTTTTTCTTTTTTGTTTTTTTAATTAATTCTCCCAACAAGTTCTAATGTCAAAAGTGATAACAACGTTCATATTGCTCATTTGTTATTAAGCTTTTCCTTATACATGATATACTGTTTTTTCAGATCTCATCTTGATCCCCCTTTTTTGTTCCTCTAATGACCACTATTATGGCTTAAACTACTTACTTTACTAATTGTGCGTGGTTGGGTTAAAAGATTAAGCGGCCATTATCATCACCAAGAAGCCTAGTTAGTATGGTAAGGACGATGTCTAAATCAGTTTTTGCCCAACTATATCCACTACCTTCATGCCCGCGTGCTTCACAATTATATACTATTCCTCCGGTCCTAAATGTAAGACCCTTATACTAGCGTGTATAAAGGTTTTACATTTAGGACCGGAGGAGTATTACTTTCGATTTTTAATATGAGAGTTAAATAATTAATTTGAGGATATTAAGAAAATGAGTAAACTTAGTTATTTGTTACAAATATGCGTCGATCTCCCCAAACTGTCATTTTCAATATATGCATTAGATTATTAAAATCATCCTTTAGAGGAAACCATTTACAATCAATATAAATATTTTGAGCAAAGATGAGAGACCAAATAGATTAAAGTCTTACATTTAGAACTAATTTCAATTTTCAACTAACTTTTATATCAAGGATCGAAGTTATTAATTATTTATAATATGATTGGTGCAATGTTAAGCGTGGTCCTATATTCACATTAAAATAACTATCTTCGTGTCAAATTGACAATAACCGGATACTGGACAGTTTCCAAAAATTTGGTGAGAGAATTCTAAAGTTGTAGTTATATTAGTATAATGTTAAGTTGAAAAAGAATTTAATATGATATTGGAAAAAGCCATTAGTAGAGCAAAAGTTGCAGGTTTAATGACATCTAATGGAGTGCATATCAAATAATTTGGCTTAAGAAATTGCTTTTTAATGAAAAATAGCCCTAACTTGCTTCCTCCGTGTGTTGCTAAGAAATCCTATCTATGAATTCAGCTGAGAGAAGAATGTAAGCATTTTAGCAAAGAATTTTTTTCCTACTCATACATATAGGTATTCTCTTATTGAAAACAATTATATATAAGATACTATCAGATACCTTTATTAACAGGAATTCAAATTTTGGTTCATTACGTTGTGAGAAACTAGCTCTTTGCTCTAGAGCTAATCCATTAGATTTTGACAAAAAAATAAATAAATAAATTGCCACCATTTTGTTTCCTCCAAAGAAATTGTTACCAACCCGTTGCGGGTGTATGCCAACCTAATCTGCCCACGAGTTGGCAGTTTGGACCTACAAGTCTAATTTATATTACAAGTTCTTAATTCATGAAAGACAATACAACATTAAATGAGTATTTCTTTTTCTTTTTTCTTTTTAGTTTTTTTTAAATAACACAATTTTTATTATTGAGACAGCAATATGTACATGTTCATCTTGAGGGTAAAAGAAACAGTATGTAATTTCAATTAATTTAATAGAACTTAATGCAATTTCTTTCATATAGGGTTTTTGTAATTTTGATAGTATTGAAAAAAAATTGTATATCTCATCTTTATATTAAGAAACTAAATAGAAGCATTCAATAAAATAATATCACCATGAATTTTGAAAGAAAAAGAATCTCATAAGTTTTTATTTTTTAATTTTATTTTAATTATATGGGAACTTATTTAATTTTGAAATAAAATTAAAAATCATAAAAGCTTTGTGAAATTTATTCAAAAAAAAATTATAAAGTCAAAGTTTTCAATACTATTATTGAAAAATACTTACATCAAATTATTTGTATTTATCATGTCAAATTCTCCAATCACATATGGCTATATATATCTTGCTTTTAAAATATTAATATTTAATAGTATTTAATAATAAATTTATATGAAATAAAAAAAAAAGTTAATATATGATTCAAGAATTTGACATAATGTATATAAAAAATTGGAAAAAAGATAAATAAAGACACCCAATATATAAAATTGCTAAATAGGTTCCTCAATATGAAAAATGGCTTCAGGAGACTCGATCTTATATTGCAAATATGAAATGATGGTGAAATGTCCAAAATGACCTTCTTTTTTTCTCTTTCTTCATCTCAAGATCTCCTTCCCTTTCCTTCTTCTTTTCCTCTCTCTCTCTCTCTTTATCCTTCTCTTTTCTTTGGATCTTCTATCATCAACTTCGCCTCTCACTCCTTCTCAAAGTATAACACCAAACGACTGACAATGTCCTTCGGCTTCTTTTCTTTTGCAAACCAAATTTGAAAAATTCCTCTCTTCGTTGTCATCCCCTGTCACTTTCTTCTTGTCTTGCCTAGCTATTCTTTCATCAGCAATAAAACCTCTTCCATCATTCTCTCTGTTGCTATGGAAAGAGAGGAGAGTCGGGGAGTTTGAGGGAGAGTTGCAGTCATTTGCGATGCTTGTGATGTTTTCTTGCAATGTGTGTGATGATTGCTTGGTGCTGAGACAATACCCAACAAATCTGGATTTTTATTTTTCATTTCTATTTTGATTTTTAGCTTGTGTTCATAATTGAAAATAACAAGTTTGGTAAGTTGTTGAAAATAACAAGTTGACAAATTTTGATACGCAGTTCATGATAAGTTCAGTAAGGCGAATGACAAGTTTAGCAAGGCGAATGACAATCTTTGATAAGTAATTCATAGAAATTTGAGTTTCTATGTTAAAATGACAGAATTTTCAAATTTCTTTAGTAGATAACAAGTTCTAATAAGCAATTCATGACAAGTTCAGTAAGGCAAATAACAAATTTAGTAAGGCGAATGACAATTTCTGATAACCAATTCATAGAAATTTAAGATTATATGTTAAAATGACAATTTGCATAATTTCTTGGCAAATGACAACTTCTGATAAGCAATCATAGGATTTAAATTTCTGTGTTAAATGACAGAGTTTTTCAGATTTCTTTAACAAATGACAAGTTCTAATAAATAATTTATGACAAGTTCAGTAAAGTGAATGGCAAGTTTACTAAGGTGAATGACAACTTCTGATAAGCAATTCATAAAAATTTAAGTTTCTTTGTTAAAATGACAGTAACCAGTTTCTGCAATTAGTCATTTAAATTCAAAGAGTGTAGAAAATCACGTTTGAAAAATATTATGAAGCTATCAGCAAAAGATAGGAAAATTATGTTTGCATTCAATATAATTTTATTCCATCTGCTCAATCATTTACATATGAAAATTAAAACTAACAATTTCCTTGATTACCAAGTTGA